GGGATCCTATGACCCCAGCTGACTTCCTGCCCTTTGGGTGGGGGGCTGGATTCGATGATCTTCTGAGGTCCCTTCCAGCCCTAATGTGTTTGAAATCTATGAAACTGCCTGTCAAAAATGATGGGGGTAGGGCAGGGACAGAGCGCCGCCATCCATCACCCCATGCCACCACCATCTCCCAGGAATGGCAGGGGTGTGGAAAGCTTGCACATGGTGGCTGCTGCTGCCACCTACCACCCCATGCTGCCGCCACTCCACATCTGGCCATGTGCCCCCCCTTCCCCACATCCAGCCCCATGCCACCCCCCCCACTCCCCGTCCAGCCACGTGCCACCTCCCTCCGGCTCCATGTCTCGCCCTGTACCTCCCAGATGTGGAGGTGGGGAAGCTTGCACGCAACCACTGGTGCCGCCACCTGCCATCCTGCACTGCTGCCACTCTGGGGTCAAAGTGGGGTCAGATGTGGGGGGGGCCACCACCCACTGCCCCATGCTGCTACCACTCTGTGTCTGGCCCTGCCTTGCATCCCCGCTCCGTCCCCACCATCACGGCAGCACTCCGCCGTCCCACTCCATCCCTGCCATTCCCTGTGGAACACTATGATTGGTTGTTTCAGTAAGCATTGTCATTGGCTGCCAAGACAACCAGAGTGCTTCAAGAGTACTATAGACAGACAGACACACAGACAGATGGACTATGCCCTTTATATATGTATATAGAATTTTTCTTCAAAGTCTACAATATTCAAAACTGAGTTAAGTCTCAATCTGTGCTACACATAAAATGAAGTTATGATAAATTCTATACTTTGTTTCCTCCACAGCATGCAGTAAATGTTCCTTTGTCATTTAACAGACAAATCATTAGTCCCAAATGCCACTTTATGTCTAACCACCTAAATAAGCATGGGCATCTGGTGCCTCCTGAGCAGCCAGTTAGTGACCAGAGGGCGGGGGGAAGGGGAGGGAACCCTCCCACGGCCGATCTTGCCAACTGTGGGGGAGGGGGTCCCCCGTGGCCAATCTCCCTGACCAGCCGATTGCAGCAACCCAGAAGCACAAGCAGCACTCCCAGAAGTGCCAGCAGTGCTTCTCCTGGCACCCCCATTTCCCAGCCAGCGCTCACAGGGGGGGCACCAGCGCTCCTGCCTGCTCCCCCGTCCATCTCCTAACTGGGGAGTGCTGGCTGTCAGGGGATGGACCAGCGCTCTCGGGGCGCATGTGCATCCCCATGCACTCCCTATGCATTGTCACTGTAAATAAGTTTAAGAAATCTGGAGGAGGGTCTCACTTGTTTGTACAAAAAAATGCCATTCTGTGTATATTTAGGTTCATCAACTGGGATGTGAAGTTGTCATCTTATTGCTGGAACTAAATCCTGACCAAGTAAATCTCTTCAACTGGGCCATCGATCGTTGTTATACTGGATCATACCAGCTTGCCTCTGGATGCTTCAAAGCCATTGCAACTGTATGCGGAAGCAGGTACTAATAAATTTAGAAGTAGACTCTCCCTAAAGTATTTAGTGCGAAACAAAATCAGGCTGCCATTTGTAAGATGGTTATACACTATTTTGTGTATTCCTACTTCCTTCTGCTGATATCAAATTTTAAATCGCATTTCTGCTGATTAAAAAATATTGTTAAGTATGGTAAGCATGTTTGCTGTTCATTGCTCTACTGTTCTGGATTTCATGCTGTGAAAAAATCAGGAAAAAAATCTTGTGAATGACAGAGTGAGGAAGCATTGATATAGTCAGATGGTATGCTGTCACTGAACATCCACTGAAAAATAGTCACCTCTGCAAATTTGCAACATACCAGTAACTGGGGCCAAATACATGGTGAGCATGTCTACAGATGAAATTAATGTGACACAAACTCTGGCGCCACGTTTACACATGCATGTGGGACTGCAGCGTGTTGAGACGAGTCAGAGAAGCCCTGGCTGGCAAGGAGCTGGGGTGGTCATGCTGCCAGCCTGGGCTGTTCCAGCCTGGCTCAGTGTGCTGTGGAGGGGATAGCTGGGGCATGAGGGTGCTCCAGTGTGGGGCTAGCCAGCAGGCTAATGATAGTACATGTGTTTACAAGTACTAACCTATGACTGAGTTAATTCATTTTCTGCATGTGTAGATGCTGAGACTTTATTGGGGAGCCAATTATGCAGCTCCACAGTAAACAACTTGTGTAGATTTGCCCAGCGTTTGCAAGAGTGCCACTCACTACATAGAGTCTCTACAATCTTTGCAACTTGACATGTAAAAATGGTTTGGTAAAGTTTTAAAAAATAATCTCCAGCATCCCAGTGGTCACCAGTGGTAAGCCAGTCAGCTGTTTATGGCCAGGTCCTCTATGTGCAAGGGGTTTTGGAGATGTTGCTCTGGAACTGTAGAGAATTGCTGCTACCAGTCACATGTAGTGTTTTTCTGAGACTGCAAATCACTGCACCATCTTACAAACCTGAGACTTAGTTTTGGGGTCATGAGAAGGTGCCTATAGTAGCATCCTGTTGTATAAATACTGGAACTTCCCTGACAAACCACTGTATTGAACAGTACAATAGGACCTAAACCTTTTAATTTCCAATATCATTTTTAAATCTAGTGCCAAACCAATTTTTGGATGGCTTTTCCATATAAAACCAGAGTCACTAACAAGAAAATAGTTATTACTTGGTAGTTATTTTGCCCATATTTTTCTAATTGGCCATGAATTTGACCTGGTTTTCCTTGCCTTGTTGCAAATTAATATATTCAATTATATTAACAGAGCAGAAGTGGTAAAAAGAAGAAAACACAAAATGTTACTCTTGTGTTGTCCTATATAAATATTGTTTTTCTGTTTCTTCTTGGTCTCTTTTCAGAATAAAAATGGGGGAGAGATTTAATAGTTATTTTGAAATAGAGAGCAAATCTCATCTGATTACGTGAGTCTGAACTTCTGATAAATTTAGATTTCCTGACAAAAGCATAATTTGGCAAGATGTCTGATCAGCATATTTTGAGAAGGAAATGTGTGGGACAGAGCAAAGCAAAACATATTAAGCATTTTAGAATTTAGTATATCTATAAAAACACTATTTTGTTCCTCTGATAGAAACAGATGCAAAAACAAGCCGTATGACATTGAGATTTTAAAAAAATGAAAGGAATTTTATGCATATAAATGTGGTTACTTAAAGATCCATTTTTGCTGTGTTAAAAGAAAGCACAGAACACAGTAGCCCTTCAGCTATGTCCTTCCTCCTCAGATTTTAGTTAGATAGGACTAAGTGTCCTGGGAAAGGATGTACATTACATGCCTTCAGTAATAGTAAAATACTTGATTTGCATGACCATGTTCAAGGAGAAACTCATATTTCTGCCTTTTTTGGGAGTATAGCTAACACTTAAAACTGACAAGCAGTTTCCTCTTCTCAGTCCTAAAAGGGCTCCTAAAGTACAGGAAGGTGACCATTTTATACATCAGCAGTGGTGTATTGTATAATGGATGACTCTCTGACTGGGTAGAAACTCAGGGATGTCAGGGGAGGTGGGTGAGCATTAAAATGGCACCCAATCTAACTTAGTTCACCCAGATGCAGACCTTACACTTGATTGACCTAATTAAGAATCTAAGCGTGAACTGTACAGAAGCTCAGGAAGTTGAGATTAGTCTAAAAATGGCCAACCCAGTCTAAGTTAACTGTACCTCTGAGGTAGTCTAACTTAGACTGCGTCCAGCGAGACCGATCTCACTGAACTTCTGTACAGTTCTGAGCACAGCCCACATGGCTGCACTTTTGCTATCCACCCTGCTGAGAAAGGGCTATTTTTAGCCCCTCCCCCAGGTGGATAACCCACACCCCCATGGAGCAGCTAGCCCTCCCCTGAGCATGCCAACCCCCTATTCTGCAAGTGGCTCCATTCAAAGTAATTCAGGGGTGGGGGAGGGGCAGGGACAGACAGGATTGGGGAGAGTAGCTTCACCGGGGGGTTCGTTGTCTGGGTGTTGGGAGAATCAGAAGGCTAAAAATAGCCCCTAGTCAAGGGGGGTAAGAGAGCCCCCCAAAACCCCTGCAGACCCCGCTAGCCCCCCAATCCTGCCAAACTCTCCCAGACCCCCCTCAACCCCCATGGACCTCACTAGCTCCCTTGATCCCTCCAAGCCCCCTGCAGTCCCTACTTGCTCCCCCAGTCCCCCCCATGGTCCTTGCTAGGCTTCCTGATCCCCCCCACAGGCCCCACTTGCCCTCCTGATCCCCTTGCAGACCTCTCTAGTCCCCCTGATCCCCCCAAAACCCCTTACTAGCATCTCTATCCCAACTTACCTTATATTGGGTGGCCATTTTTAACTTGATCTAACCTCCCCTCTTTCCTCAGAAAGTTCTTTCCACAAAAATGTAGTTGCTCTCAAGTCTATGGTGTTCCCATGTGATAGCTTTATTGTGATACTATCAATAACATGTTCTGCAGTTTCACTTATCTTGCAGCTAAGACTGAAGTATCAGAGTAATTGGAGACATACACAGCATACACTCTATATTCGTTTCCTCTATTTTTTTGAATGGGAAACTACATGTATTTTGCATAGGTTCAAACTCTGTGAAGCCTTTGGCACCATTTAGAAGCCGTGACATTTTAATTGTGAGACAGGCATTTGAGAACTGGTTAAGACTTTCCTTTAGTCTAAGCTATAAAGTCTCATATATAGCTGTAGTATGACAGGTTCTTAGGTCTGAGGTCCTTTGGATCAAAGCAAAAGATCCCACAATTGAATTGGTTAAAACTGAGATGGATGTCAAATAATGTATTTGCTTATCAACATAGAAAATGCTTTCCATTTTTAAATTAGCACAAGGCCAAATTACATTACATGGAAATTTGCCTTTCTCATGAAGAGCAGCAGTCCATGCTCTGATTTGTTGACCCTTTACTAAATTTTGGACACCTAGGATAGTTGTTTGTTCAGTAGGAACCTGTGATTTTGTTGTGCCTGTAGATTCCAGCCCCTTTTAATATTAACTTCTCAGTCTGATAGAGAATTCTCTTTCATAACTTGAATACCTGTGAGTCTGCGTATTGAGAAATAAATCCTTTTTCAAAAGCAGATATTTTTAGCTGTCACTGGAATTGTTTAAAGAATATATTATGCTTGGAAACTCTACCCATCCATCTTTGTTTTGGGGAGCTGGTTCATAAATAAATTCTAAATTTAAAAAAACCTGATTGTTATGAGATCAAGTGTAGAACCTTTCATTTTAGGGCCATTACAGTACATTTCTAAAAACTGTCTCATGATGCTTGTCAACTCCTCCTGCTCTGCTATTCACCAGGTGGCCATTTGATCGAGGAGTATATCTCTACAAGTAAAGAACTTTCTTTTCAGTATTCCAGTGCAGAAGCAGAGAAAAGAAGGGTGATATTTCTTTAGACCATTATTAGTCAACAGATCCAGGTGAATTTAAGCTGCATTAGATTCTGATATTCACAAAAATTTACCGTTTATTCTTCCAGGAACTATCCCTTTGATATAGTGACCCTTTTAAACTTAGTGCTGTTCAAGGCATCCGACACCAACAGAGAGATTTATGAAATTTCCATGCAACTTATGCAGGCATGTATCAGCAACTTTTCTAAATAAAAGTTCCTCTAAAACAATAACCACATTTGATTTCTTTATGAATGTCTTATAATATGTTATTTTGGGGTTTTACTTTTGAATTTACTTTTTTTTTAATCTTTTGGTTTTGAAATTAGGACTGTGAATCCTAAAGTGATTATTTGTATAAATATTTCAAAAGATTATTTGGAAAGTTTATACTGAAATATATAGACTGTTCATTGATTTCTTAATCTGTTAAAAGTTGATATGCTGGGTTTTTCTGAACTAATCGAATTGTTCTGTTTCATTGTCCATTTTTCTTCTCTTCTATAGATTTTGGAGTCAAAACTTTTTGTTTATTCAAAGAAAGTAGCTGAGCAAAGGCCTGGCAGTATCCTGTATGGTACTCATGGTCCATTGCCACCTCTCTACAGTGTATCACTAGCCCTTCTCTCCTATGAATTAGCAAGGATGTATCCTGAGCTTACCCTTCCACTTTTTTCAGGTATCAGCATTTTTTTAAGTTTTGTTTTTTATGTAGCATACAAATGGTGGATTGCTAAGGTACTTTAGTTGTGAATAACTAGCCCACTGATACTCTGATTCAGTTTGGTTTTATTTGATTTTAGAAAAAATGGTAAAATTTAAAACATAGTAAAATTAAACTAAAACTATATGAACAATTGAAGACATATGCATAGTGCAGTGGCTGATATTTTAAAACTTGCTATCTGATTCTGTGCCTAATTATTTGTACATAACTTACAGTCTTGAAGTGGGGCAGTGGTGTGGGGGTTTGAACACTTCTTTGTGTCCATCTGATCCTGGGCAGCATTGGCTGTCAGCCTAAAATACGCAATCCAGAAAGCCTACCAAAATTATAGAAGTATCCTCAGACTGCCCAGATTCTTTCCAGCACTGTATGCTATGGTCCTACTCCTTCTGCTCTCAGCTTTACCAGTTATAGAGGATCTGCAACAAACCTGGATAAGTTTTCCAGTGGTTTATTGTGTTCATGTTGGGCTTGAATTTTTCTAACTTCAGCCTCTAACTATTAGATCTTGCTATACTAAGAATCCTCTGTTATCAAATTTTAGTTCCCTGTGTAGGTACTTACAGCATATAATCATATCATCCTCAGACTCTTCTTTAATAAGCTAAATAGTTTGAGTTCCCTGTATCTTGACACAAAACACAGGTTTTCCAGTCTTTTTAGTTATTCATACAACTTTTCTGACTCCTCTCCAGTAATTTTGGAACTGTAGTAATTTTGGATACCAAAATTTAATAGAGTATTCCAGTTATAGCCCATGCCCTCCTCACTAAGTGCCAAATACAGAAGTAACATAACCTGCTTATTCCTGCTTGATATGGCCATGTTCATCCATCCAAGGATCACATTAGCTCTCAGTCAGAATATCTCACTGGATGGTTTTTCTCCCCTGTATCTGGAGTATGCACGTTTGTACTCTCAGAACGTTTCCTTATTTTGTATTTATTTAGGCCAGGAAGCAAAATAGAAATGATGGTGACATGCTAGACATGTGATCTATACAATATATTTTTACTTGCTTTTATAGACTAATACTTTGCTATTTTAATACTTCCTGTATTAGAGGTAAGTCAACGATTCCCAACAACTCATCCAAATGGGAGACAGATCATGCTTACCTATCTGCTACCATGGCTTCATAACATTGAACTTGTGGACAACAGACTACTTCTCCCAGGATCAAGCCCTAGCACTCCAGAGGATGAAATAAAGGACAAAGAAGGGGAAATAGCTGTCACATATGGGCTGAAAGGAAATGGATGGGGTTCTCCTGAAGCCACATCATTGGTGCTGAATAATCTCATGTACATGACAGCCAAGGTAAACAAAGCCATATATTCCAGCTATAGTATTTTAAAAGTTCAAAAATAACAGAATTGCATGGTACAAACTCAAAAGGCAAAAAGTATTTAGAATGCTCATGAGAGTAAATGTTATGTATCTGTTGAACTAATTAGTAAAATAACTATCTCATTCCCTAACATATCTAGGGTGAACTTCATTATGAATAAAATTAAGAAATGCATCTAAGGGATAGATCAAAAGCAATGGGTACTTCAGTGTGATATGTTGCTATGCCTAACTTATGCACTTGTCTCCCAAAGTAAAATCCAGAACATATGGCAAGCATCTAGGGCCATCTCCTCTTCCCCTTTATGCACCTATATGACACACACACACCTGTATAACTGCAGTTTTGACACCTATACACATTTTCAATTCAGCTTTGCACATGCAAACCCATATATAATCATGAGTAGGGCTGAAGTTGGTCTGGGCAGCTGTGTGGCAAAACATGCTAACCCAAGTATGTACATAAGGCAGGTAAATCCTAAAATTTTAGGGTTTGCGGAAAAGCTATGACTGGGTAAACAGTGACTTCTACCCCTTAACCAATAGCTTAGTGGCCCAGGGGGCAGTAGATGTAGGTTCTTGGCCCCACAACACAAAAGATGGTTGAACATGCATCTCTTATTTCTAACCAGAGTGCTCTAACCACAGGCCACAGGATAGGCATTACTCAGTTCCTTCTTCATATTACTTTTGGAATCTGCAAGGATTAAGTGAAATCTCAGACTATGTGCAAGTGTCAAGAACTGCAATTAAATGGCTGCATCTGTGCCAGGGGTAGCCAGCAAGTGAAGCAAATGGCACAAGCAACTGCAATAAGTGGCATATGATAAACTGGGGAGAGGACAGGTAGCATGGCAGCAGATAGGGAAGAAAGCAGAGCAGCAGATAGAGCAGGAGAAGGGAATCAGAATGGCACTTACAGAGGGTTCAGGGCTAATTTATGGCATGCCTGTCAGAAAGGTTGGGCCCCACTGGTCTATAACATTTAGGCTGCCACTCATCCTCTCACCAAATGTCTGGACTTACGGGGAGTGAAATCAGATTTACCCCTTTGGCTCCCCACACAGTGTATGGGAAGGACTAGGCATTTCAAGTGCACAAAAAGCAGTAGTCTGAATGGGGAGCTGCCTAAAATGAGCCTGCTAAACAAGGAACCACCCAGAACAAATAATTAGGAAACACCGTAGGTGGGGATTTTTCTTAAATCCTGCCCCTCTCTGGGTTGTAGATATTTTACTCAGTTGCAAGGGGCCAGATATACTTAGAATTTGCAACCCAGCACCCTCCCCTAGAAGTAGGTGCCCTCAGTTTATTTCAAAACCAGCACAGGGTCAGTCTTCGCTTTTCAAGGCAGAGCCAAAGGATTTTTACAGAATTGCTCAGGGATTACAGGACTCCCTCAAGATGTGGAAGACCTGGATTCAGCTCCCTGCTCTCCCTTTGGGGATTCAAACCAATATTCCTCCCCAACCTGGCGGGTGCCCTAAACAACAGGCTGTTTCAGCTATTTAAGGCAGGGAGTAAGCACACTCAGTCCCTCCTGATCAAGGTGTTCCAGTTTGCAAAAAATAATTAAAGGTTTATTGAGAAAGAGGGACGACAATTCTCTATCCTAGTAGTTAGAGCACATACCTGAATCCCACCTGTTCCAAGGACTGTATATGCATTTAACTGTTTCAGGCCCAGTCTTGAGAACATAGATAGGAACCCAAGACTTTCACCTGTAGGTGAGTGTCCTGATCACCAGGTTAGAGTGTCATGTTCACTCTAACACTCTTTCTCTCTGGCCCATGTCACTAATTCCTTCCTGCAGAATGAAGCCACATCAACAGGAAGTATCAAGTACCACCCCTTGGTCTCCTGCATCCTGAGTGAATGCTCTGCCTACTGTGGTGCTAAATAGAAAGGGGACACCACCATGGCCACATCTTTTAAAACAGGGGTGATCAAGAGATGTCCTGTGGGCTAGATCTGGTCTGCAGAGCCATGTCATCCAGCTCATGAGGCTCCCTATGGCTCTGGAAATCTGGTGACATGTCAAGTGGTATTGGCATTAATTGTCATGGCTCCTGGAGCCACAGAAATTAACACTACCTATCACACAACCTGCTGCCATATTTGTGGGTGGCCCCATAAGCCCGATACAGAGCATGGAGCAGCAGCATCTGGCTCATAGGTCTGCCCAGGGCCAAAGCTTCAGCAACGGAAAGAGTGGCAGCTGCTGTGTCTCTGGGAGCCACAGCAATTAACACTGCTGTCACCAATTCTATCCCAGCAGCCCAGAAAACACAGCTGTATGCTCCAGATCCAGCCCAGAGGCCAGCCCTGCACCACTCATCTGGCCTGTGGGACCAGATGCATTGGAGACACCACTGCTTTATATTTTGTGTGGAGCCCAGTCCAGGAGCTGTGGTCTGAGAACACGTACTGCATTTCACCCTTCTGGCAAGATAGGTAGACAGATGCCCGGTATCTGACAGGGCTTAAGTAGGAAATAAGTGCTGAGCTATTTTGTCCTGTCAAAATTGAGGCTTTTGAGACCATATGCAGAAGCAGAATTTTAGATATCTTTTGTCCTATAGTGTTGAATAGCAAAGCACTTGTGAACTTTAAACACCTGCAGACTAGGTGGCAGCTAAGTGGTACATTAGAGCTTGAACATTTTTTACTTGGGTGCCTATGTCTGTCCTAAATCTGACTTTAATAGGCCAGTCCTCTTCTGGATCTAGACCTAGATAGTTTTCTTTTTCATATTTATGGTATGTTTAATGCACTTTTCACAAGTTCCTTCTCTTTGCTTAATTCCAGTACGGAGATGAAATTCCTGGACCAGAGATGGAAAATGTCTGGAATGCTCTAGCTAACAATGAGAAATGGAGCAACAACCTTAGAATAACACTGCAGTTTCTCATTAGCTTGTGTGGGGTTAGCAGTGATACCATCCTTTTACCTTATGTAAGTGGTTGTGTGCTGTTTTATTTATAACTGGGTATACTGTTTTTAATGAAGAAAATAATTCACATTGAGTGTATATGACTGCCACAAATTCTCTATACCTGTATATCGTTAGCATCCAATACTCAGTTAAGTCAGGGTAGAGCAAATGAACCCAGATACTGAAAGTAAATGGATGAAACAAGCCATCTGAGCCCTAGTTTGTACCAGTGGAGCTCACTGGGTTTCAAGTAGTGGATATGCTATAATGCAAAAAAAGCAGTTGTTCTGCACAAGGGACCAGTATAGCAGTGACAATGGCTGGTCATCCAGTGCTGAAATTGGCATGAATGAACGTTAAAACCATTTTATACCTAAAAAGTTACTGCTGTGTGTTTAAATAAATCACATATAAGATTAACAGAGTAAAACTACTAAATGCCATGAGCTTCCTCCAGTAGGCAGCTAGTCCTTAGAGAGCTGTACACTATATTTTGCAAGGCCTTACAACAATGAAATGCTATGCAAGGAATTCAGTACACATTATTAATGTTTATGCATTTTAAAGATTTAGATTCCAGTTAAGCAAAACATATAAGCATATGCTTACTTTCAAGTGTGTGCTGAAGTTTATCCTTCTTTAGCAAGACTGGGAATTTGAGAGGCATATTTTGGACTTTCATGCCTAACTTCTTTAAGCACTTTTGAAATTCTGTCCCATAAATTTTAAAAATATGTGTAAGACTCATTTAAGTCATATGCTAAAGTGCTTTGCTGAATCACCTCATACCATTCATTTATGGTGCAATGCAGAGTGTCAGTGTAAATGCTAATTGAAATTTTAAAGGTTAGCATGTCAGCTTAATTCTTTTTTGTCCCAGCACAGCTGTCATTGGTTACATAACTGTTCCCCATAGTGTGTGAGTCAAGCTGTACAGTACATTGCTGTTACTGCAGTTGAAATTTAAAAAAGACTTGTCTGAGAAAAGCAGTAATGCTTCTGTATTCTTGGCATTTCAGTTTGACATGAATGAAATCTAAACTTTGTACTTTTGCTGATAATTTACTATATCCTGTTTCAATGGCTTATTTCTTTGTATGAGTTACTATAATGAAAACAATCAGTATCTATTATTATTAAGGTTTATTTAGATAACATTGTAGAGGTACATGGTGCTTTATAACAAGTTTGGAAATGTCAGGTTTGCCCTGAGGAGTTTACAGCCTGTGCCAGACATAATAGAGCAATGAATAATAAATCATGAGAAATAAGAGAAATAAACAAAGGGAAGGGCAAGTTTATGTGAAGACAGTGAACATCTAGGGGGTGTATCTGTTACCTACACATCTTGCTGTTTTCTTTTTCTTTTTAATTTAATACATTAACATTGTGAAGTCAGGATATACTATATTTACCCAAATATATACTCACCCTAACTGGAAGATGACCCCCTAATTATTATATTTTATTCATGGAAAATGTATACATTTGTTATTATTTTTCATGTATAACATCTGTTTATTGGAGGATCATCCCCACCACTGCAGATGGCAAGGGGCAGGAGATGAGGGGGCAATAATGGGGCAGATAGTGGGGGAAGCAATGAGGGGTATGCAGTAGGGCAGTGGGGGGCAGTGGTGGAGGTAGTAAGGGGGTAGGTGGTGAGGACAGTGGCAGAGGCATTAAGGGGACAGGGGGTGGAGGGGCATGTAGCTTTCCTCCTGCTGCCAATCCCCCTACCTTTTGCTCCATCTTCCCCTTACTATCACCACACTGCCCCTCCACTTCCCCATTACCTTTCCTCTGGCACAGGCAAGCTCCATCCCTGCTGCAGCCTGGGACACAAACCAGCATGAATGACTGGTGCTTCCAGCAACTGGGGGGGCACCATAGCAGCGAGTGGGGACTGCCCACAGCTGCTGTCTACAGTGTTGGCGGCAGCGAGCAGCAACTGCCTGCAGCTGCTGCTCGCAGTGTCAGCAGCGGGGGAGGCA